GAATACAGATTTTAGCTCTGCTCATCTTATAAATCACACCTTAGTGACTGAAGTCACGGATGAACTATAATCTGGAACTTTGCTGCAAGGAATTCTGGAAAATGTCATTCCCAGGCTCCGGGTCCTATGATTGGGGGAGAGTACGGAACTGTCCCCCTAGATATGTGAGGACGGCGCCGGTGCCAACAACTGACTCTCCTGCACGGTCCACTCGCCATGACCTCCCATTGATAAGTGTTACTTGTGTAACAGTGGCACCCCTGCCTCATCGTCCCAGCTCGGGGTCAGCGTGTCATCCCAAGACTCAGTGTGTCATCCCAAGAATACGATAGCTTTCCATCCCAGTTTTCCCGTCTTATGGCTGTCCTGCAGGACAACAGCAGAGGGGATTTTCCCAGTGGCAGAACGGAGCCTCTGCGGGCGTGGCCAGGAGGTGGGCCACGGAGCCAGCACCATAACCCCTCGCCGAGAGAGCTGGCATTCGGGTTCTCTCCTTTCTTCGTCCTCCGTCACCCTGTCCCACCAGTGACTCACACACAGAAGTCCTGGAGTTTCATACCACTCCCACTGACCCTCTTGTGCCACCAGAAAGGGCCTCAGTGGGGCATCGGAATGGACTCCCTAATTCAGCGCAGTGACGGCTCTTCCCCTCTCCTTGAGGGCCCCGTCTGCAGCAGACATTGTCTAATTTCCATTCTCCTGGGGAGGTGTCTTCTATCAGTCCCAGGAAAGATTACCCCCCTCCCCCACTTAGAATGAACCAAAATACCACTCCTTTTAATTCCAAAGGAAAGACAAAACGAGTCGAGCGTTCGTGTAATTTTGTCACGGTTTCGAGGCCCTGGGAGCGCACGACAGTAGCATTCCCAGGCACTGAGACCGAAGTCGATGACAACTGCGCATTTGAGATGTCCCTGGATTAGGACTCTCCCGAGTTCTGATGGATGACACTGTGGCGGCCCCTCGGGGACGCACAGTCACAGACAGGCAGGCCGTGATCAAATCATATGGTGTGCAAATTACATTTTACAGAGAACGGAACTGTTTTCTTTTGTTCCAAGTAAATTGACAGTGACCCTCGGCAGACTGCAGATGAAGTGAACCCAACCACAGTATGTCTCCTAATAAAAAAACCGAAATCACAAACATATTTATATTGCAGAGTGAGGACTCCAAGCACATTTATGTGGATGAAGCAAAAAATGTGTTCCTGTATAAAAACCAAATGTTCTATCTTCTTAAGTTAGACCAGGAAAGCATTTAGTGTGATCTCGTAGGAGGTCCACATCATGGCCCTTGCCCCTAGGAACACCTAAGGTTCTGGACCTTTTTGATCACAGACCCTTTGAGGATCTGGTGAATGGTGGCCTGTTCCACATGCCTCCCCATCTCCCTCCTTCTGGTGCCTGTGGGAAGCTCCTCCCCCGCTCCATGTGGTCTGTCAGGCTGCCGCCATCAGTGTGTGGGGCTGGGGCGCAGATGTGAGCCAGGCTGACCCACCGGAGCTCAGCGCTCTGGTCCCAGTAAATGGTGGGGGCATGTCTGTGTGACCCACGCAGAGGGCTGACAGCCATCATCTTGCCACCCCAACATACTTAAGCCGGCAGGTGTGAGTATGCGGTCAGTGGTGGCCTTGTCCAGTAAGTAGAAGGAATCCCAAATCAGGATGAAGTGAGAGGCAAGCTGAGCTGAGAGATGGAGACAAAAGAAACAGAACCACCGTATTTTCAGCCATTCTGGAAGCTATTAGTGTCCTCGGTATGAGCCCATGGAAAATAAACCAATAAATTGCCTTTATGCTCAAGGTTTCTGTCTTATCCAACCAAGAGATCCAGGATAAACAGATCCGCTCCCTAAAGAAAACACAAACACCTACCCGTGCATAAAATAATTCATACGACTTCAAGGGTTCGCTGCTTACAATGTTAGAGGCTGGAGTCCATCCAAACACCCTACGAGCCCTTGCCCGTCCAGTTTTCTAGATGGTCTTAGAGTAAAGCTGACTTTGCCGTCAAAACCTTCGTCTTCCTGTGCATCAAGTTTCTGTTACATGTTAAAATGTTAGACCCTGGAAAGGTAAATACCATGAGCCATTACTAGTCAGTAACGACCATTAGCAAACGGTCCGAGGATGATAACTACCATTCAGAACTACTTGCCTAGAATTATGTGGCCACAGGTGATGGACAAGTGACATCTGGCTCTTATGATTTGAGTTCGAGCAAGTCATTCGCCCATCTGAGCAATTTCCCTATTTATGTAACGAAAAGTCTGAACACGTTTCCAGAGGCCCTCCCACTTACAGACCTGTTCAATGAACCACGAGTGCTTCTTCCATTTTTGATTATAATGCCGTTTAGAGCCAAGTCAAAAAGGAAACACTTCTGCAGAGAGCACAGCGCTCTGCCTCCCCCGATCTGAGTCCCAGTGTGATGCAGACCAGCTTTGGCTTCTACTCCACCGAGCTGTTTATTAGGGTACTATGCAGAGGAGCCTAGAAAAACACTCGATGAATCACATTACCCTTTAATTCTAAGAAGATTCCAAACTCCATTAAATTTCCCTGGGATGGTTAGAAAATGACTGTGTTCCATATAGATAGATAGATAGATAGATAGATAGATAGATAGATAGATAGATAGATAGATAGATAGATAGATGGATGATAGATAGATAGATAGATTGATTGATTTTAAGCTAAAATGCCAAAATATGTGGAAATATTCATATTAGAGGAATAAAATTTAGATCTTGCAATTTGAGACATGGAAGTACATTTCTGCTAGAGTCATCTCAAGAGAAAAATGTAGCTGAAATACAGTGTTTTTCTCTTCAAAATAATGTAATGGCCTCCTCTCCCGAGCCTCACCTGTACCCACCCGAGATTTAGCCACAGTTGGCGAGGGTGGAGCACCAGAGGCGCCCCAGTGGGCATGCTTTAATAAAGGAGAAAGAGAAGAACGTCCTAGCAGGGAACATCTCGCCTTACAGAGAGTGAGTTCTTTCCATAGGTTTGACCGGAGAGCGACATGTCCGCATCACTGGAGTGGGTCCGGGCACAGCCCATGCTGTCAGACAGATCTGGGATGAGAGAGCTGCCATAAAAAAGCAAACAAAGCTGGAAGAATGGGACGAGTTAGGTGCAAGGGGCAGCAACCTTGTGGCCAACAGCCAAGGCCCGAGTCGGACACGGTATGTCCGAGGCCAGTGCCTGGACGCAGACGCTGGTGGGTAGCAGCAGCCCTGGGGAACGCCTTGAGAGTCAGCGCCTGAAGGACATGTTGCTCCAGAAATCAAGACGGGGAGAGGAACAAAGCTGAAGCCACACGCCTCCAAAGGACAAGCTCCTAGAGGACACCAGATGTACCCACTTCTCGGGATCCTCAGAACCACTGGGAAGACTTTCAGGGGTTCTGGGGGGCTGAAATTTCTCCCCACTCCACCTCTCTCCCCACCCCGCATACAGAAGAGCTGCTTTATTTTTTATGGTCCATGGCATTTTATGCAGAGAGCCACCCTATTTTCCCTCAAGACAGTACAGCCTGGGCAGCAGAAGTGCCAGTAGGGTAGGCCAAATGACACGTTGCCCAGCGGTGGCCAGAAGACTCTGAGAACATGGAAATCCTGGGTTGGGTTCTACCATTTCATTCCCTCTGCATGAGTTGACATTCTAGATTCAAACGGGACCAGCTGCTGGGTTTCCAACTCCCCACTCTCTGGACTCCGTGTCTTCAACAATGGTTCGCCATTCGCATGGAAAGCTTTTAACCTAAAGGTGATGAGATGAGGTTGGAATACGCCAGACACAACTTGATTTAAATCATACTTAAAAATCTTGGGCCTGAAATGAGGGAACAGTGAGCGATCTATTTGCTGGTCCAAGAGCGCGCAAAGCGTCGCGGTTGCCACTATTAACGACTGTTATCCAAGCGTCTGTCCTCCATGCAACACGATGACAAAGACAAAGGAACCTGGTTACAAAGGGGGGCGAGCGGCATGGCTGACATTTCTCCAAAAGAGATGTCCGAATGGGCCATAAGCGTGAAAAGATGCTCAACGTCACTAGTCGTTACGGAAACGCAAATCAAAACCACAGCAAGATGCCGCGGCACGACGCACGCACGGGTAAACGAGCGGGTATAGACGTGCGATGAAACGTCGGTGGGCCATAAAAAGGAATGAAATTCTGACCTCGATGAACCTTAAAGACGTTATGTTAAGTGGAATAAAACAAAGACAAAAGAACGAACATTGCGTAATTCCACTTATGTGAGGCACCGGAGACAGCAGAGCGGTGTGGAAAGGCGGATGCCGCAGCCTGGGGGCGGGGGGCGGGGGAGAACTGTTGTTGAATGGGAGCACAGTTTCCATTTGGAGAGCTGAGGAAGTTCTGGAAACGGATGGTGGTGATGGCGGAAAACAACAGGAATATATTCAATGCCACTGAAATGCACGCCCAAAAATGATTAAAATGGTAATTTTATGTTCTGTATATTTTACAATTTTTTAAAAAAGAGTCTGTACTGTCACACTTTTCACATGCCTTTGGACAATGATCACATACCCCGGCTGAGAGTCTTTGGCTTTTGCTGGCCCCACACCATTTGTTAAGATGGACGCCCTGTCACCAAGACATGGCTTAAATCACCCCGATGGATAAAGTTTACACTCCAAAGGCTCCCATTTGTAGTCCTGACTAAGTGGATTCACAAGATTCTGTGCAACTCAGGCTACCACCATGTGGCAGAGAACAGGAAGAAACAAAGAAAAATTGAACATCGGTATCAAAATGTTAAGCCCCTGCCGTCTCAAGCGGCTGAAGGAGCCATCAGAGGCACGAAGCCTCCTCCGGGGGGGCCACGTTTTGTCAACGACTTCCCAGGCTGCAGTTCTCAGCTCTCTCTCGGAGATGCTGGCTTCATTTATGCAGCACATGCGGTTACGAAAAGGAGAAGCGGCAGCGAGAAACCACACCACGCCATCTGCATATGAAGCCCTTGTTTAGGGAGGCTCAAAAGGGAAGTTCTCAGTCTATAATAGCTCTTCCCTGAAAATTCCTTCCGGGCCTCCTCCGACCTCAGTACTATACAGAGATGTCAAGTGTTTATCCAAATGGCCTCCTGCTTTCTGTGGCTCAGCCTCTTTCTGCATGTGGCTTCTCAGTTCCCTGACCCTCTGGCTGTCCTGGTGTTCCCTGGACTCCCATAGCAGATTCTCTAGCTGTCCTCTTGCTTGCTCAATCTTTTAGTTTTCATGTTTATTTCTACTTCACTTAATTTGCTCAAAAGACCGGTCAGGCACATATATACAGAAAAGTTAGCAAAACAGAAATTATCGGCACTGAGGGCGAAAGGAAGGAAATACTGAACCCATAAGAATCAACGTAGCTGCTGCAGCTGAGCTCCCCAGATGCACTGTTAACGCCAGCGGTCCTTGTCAAAGTGACAAAGCCTAGAAGTTTCTGAGGGAAACAAAGCTTTGGAGGGTAGTAAATTCTGAAATTTCTTACCTTACAAAAGGAACACTATGAGTCATAGTGGGAAACTGTCACCACTTTCATGCAATATGAATAATGTCACGTGGCTTTGTCCCGTCCCAATTTTCACTACTTACCTATTGAAGATGTATCTCAGTGACACAACAGGACCATTTTCTCTTAGATTCTACTCTCTTTGCAGTGGCCAAGTTGGGGATCAAACGGTCTTCCAATTACAGGCTTTTCTAGGCCATACCTCCTGTCCTGTGGAGAAACACAGGCACCATGGCAAAGGCAGTGAGAAGCTACTGTGTCGGCCTGCACCACGAAGTCCTTCCCCTGGACAAGTCACTCCATTCTCTAAGTCAACCGTCTGAGCATCGCATGCCTGCGGCTACCTAACCCCTTATCCACTGCGCCCTCCCTTCACGAGGTCCAAATGATTGAAAAATGGACAAAAGAGCCAAGTCAAATAAATTTTCCAATGTGATTAATGGTGGATTGGTGGGGGCAACTGGCCACAGGGCTGCATCTTCGTCCCTCCTCCTCGGTTTGAAGGGAATGGGGTGAACCTCTCATCCACCCTGGGTACAGAGACTCATCTCTTTTGTCTACTGCATGGCAGGAGGCAGGCTGGGAAGCCTGAGACAAGCTCACAGAGGAAAAGAGAGAGGAGAGGGGAGGGCAAGCAAAGATCAGGCTGGAACATGACCTTTAACGCAGGAAGCCCACCAATTTCTAATTTAGGGTAGTAGTCTATTTTTTTTTAAATAATTCTATTGAGTCAAGTAGCAGACCATCTGGATAAGCCCGCTCGGCTATGAATTCGTTATTTCCCGGTATGGCAGGCTCTAGGTTGGCTGAGCCCATTGTCATTTCTCGCCCCTACTGCCTTACCCACATTTTCTACAGCGCTCTCAAAGCTAAAACTTGATCTCCTGACTTGCCCTAACTACGGATGG